TTGACTCATTTTTGAATTCTTGCTCTATTTGGCCCTTTGCACGAATTTGGCATATGCTTAAAGGTGATTCAAGACCCATCAAAGTCAAATATACTCTTTAATTAGGCTTTTTGATTTTCCTTTGATTTTAAAAGATTTAAAATTAATTAAATCTAATAAAATCAATAAAAAATGAAAAAATTAATTAAAAAATTTGAAATAAAAGGTGGGACACGTGGGAAGCATGGCCAAGTTAATTCAAGTGGAAAAAGTTGGCCCCTTTTGTCAAAAATGAAATTTCAAGGATAAATGATTTTGGCCATTTCACAAAAATTTCCCAACTTCTCCAATGCATATCTTGCTCAATTTTTAAGCTTTGATCATGTTCTGGGACATTTTGGAAAGGTCTTGAAGTCCTCTAACCAATGTCTTTGGTCCCATGTCATTTTGATTTACCAATCTCAAGTTATGGCCTTTGACTTAAAGTCCCTTTTTGTTGACTTTTGAAAATGACCTATAATGTTGAAATTGATAACTTTTTGTGAGAGCATTTCTTGGACTTGAAGTATGAAGAGGAGTTGTAGGAAATGTCTTTCTCTTCAAAATGAGCTTTGGATGGAATTTTTCTGATAATCCATGTGGAAGTTATGCCCTGGTCAATTTACAGTTGACTTTTTCAGCTGTCCAAATAAGGAAACTTTTGCATCTTGATGATTTTTGAGCCAAGCTTTGAGAATCATGATCAAGCTTTGATCAAATGATGTTTGTGGCTTCAAAATGAGATGTTGACCAAAAATTTGAACTTTTGACTGTCAAATGACCATTTTGCCCTTACAGTTGACTGTAGTGCAATTAGGATTTTGACTGTGCAATTTTATGCTGAATGTCTTGAAACTTTGTATGAGGATGCTTGACCATATTTATTGGCATGTGGGACTTGATTGGACCCTTGGAAACTTCATTTTCTTGATCAGAACCAAAACCCTAATTTTGACTGTTTAGGAGGCCCTTGAACTGTGCAACCCTTGAGGAGATTTTGAAGCTTGACTTTTGACAAATCTTGAAGAATATGAGAGGGCAAATTTTGGGGTACAACAGACGTCTGCTTGTAGATTAACACCTGTAACAAGCCAGGAAAACTATCTACATGAAGAGATTGAAGATTAAACACCTGTAACAAGCCAGGAAAACTATCTCTCTTTCTCAGGTCAGAGATTAATACCTGAAACCAGACAAGACAATTATCTACTCGACCAGCTGAAGCAACCCTACCCAAGTTCCTTCTCATTTCCAGATGCAGTTTTACACATCATGAAGCAATCCTACACGAGCTCCTTCTCATACAGCTTTCAGATATAGTTCAGATATGTTTCAGATACAGACGCCATTCTGATACTCATTCAGATTCATCTTTCAGATACAGTTCAGATACGCTCCATATAAAGATGCCATTTTGATACTCATTCAGATTTAGCTTTCAGATACAGTTCTAACACGCTCTAGATACAAATGTCATTCTGATTCTCATTCAGATACATCTTTCAGATACAGTTTAGATATACTCCAGATACGGATGTCATTCTGATACTCATTCAGATTCAGCTTTCAGATACAGTTCATACATGCTCCAGATACAAATGTCATTCTAATACTCATTCAGATACAACTTTCAGATACAGTTCACATACGCTCCAGATACGGATTCCATTCTGATACTCATTCAGATACAACTTTCAGATACAGTTCAGATACGCTCCAGATACGGATGCCATTTTGATACTCATTCAGATTCAATTTTCAAATACAGTCCAAAACCAATCCATTTATGGATATTATTCTGATACTCATCCCACTATATATACTATTTCAGTATAAATCAACCAGAGATTTATTCTGATACTTCTTCAAATTTTTGTCACCAATCACCTTTGGATGACATCTATGAGCCCATCTCTGAAAAATCTCAATCATCTCTTCAAATGGCATCTTTAAGCTCATTCTCCACATAATCAACCACCACATCATCGAGTGCAAATTTCTGGGCACTCTAGTGTTCAATCATCTTCCACCTTCAAGTCACAAATGACAGACTCACCAATCTAACTCTTCAGGTTTAAGAAGATTGAACAGGGACAGCTGTTGTACCCCAAAATTTGCCCTCTCATTTCTCATGGCATTTCTCACAAGGATTCTCAAAATTCAATCTTGCACAAGTACAATTGGATTTTTCAGTATCAAATTAAAGAGGAAGCTGTTAAAAAAGGGGAAAGTAGATAAAAATAATATTTTTGACAAAATTGGAGAAAAAACAAGTATTTTTTGATTCAGCTCCTTCGATTGGCCTTTTGGCCTCTTTCGATGCAAGCTTGGCTTGCATCCTTCGACTGGGCACTGGCTTCTGACACGCTAGCTTTGATTTACAAGGCAGAAGTTTCCTACATGCCACCTTTGATTGCATCTCCGACCTCACATGGTTCACAATGCAATGACTGCCTATATGCCTGCTTCGTTTGGATGTTTGATGCTTGCATACCTATGTTGATTAGAAAAATAATTCCCTCCATAATTGCTTTGGTTCACAAGGTGATGATTGGCTATGTGTAGCTTTCAATTAAGCCACAACTTCCTTCTTGCATGCAAGAGAGGCCCACCAGGCCAGCAAGCACAAGGCAAAAAGTCTCTTGTAGCCTCCTTCGATTCCAAGGCAAAAAGCTTCCTTTTGGCATCCTTCGATTGCACAATTTGCCTCTTGCATGCCTCTTTCGTTTGGGCATGTGCCCCTCCCTTGATGCAAGCCTAGCATGTCTGTTTCGTTTGGGCATGTGACCCCCTTTTGTTGCAAGCTTCGTTTGGGAATTTAGACCTCATGCATGCAGGCTTTGGCAGGACATTGGCTATGTTTGTACTAGCTTCGACTGGACAACATTTCTTTTTAGTATGCTGCAATTCCACCCTTGACAAACTTTAGCACACATGGTTGGTGGCCCCCTTCAAAGGAAATATATTGATAGATTTGAAGGGTATACATAAGAGTCTCTGTCGAAGGATATACCTTACTAGTCCATTCAAAAGACACATTTGGTCCTTTCAAAGATACATACATGACCCATTCAAGGGACATGCCTGGGTATCCCATTCGAAGGACATGTTTGATGGCCCATTCAAAGGACTTACAAGGCCCACCTTAATGCATACTTTAGTGATCCATCCAAGGGGCACACATTTGGCTCCTTCGAAGGATGCACAAAAGTGACCCATTTGAAGGACGCTTGTTGGAGGAAAATCAAATAAGATTGTTGGAAGGAGAATCTGGTAGAAGGGGATGGGGTCAAAACGAAAGAATGAAATATTCAAAAGATGCTTGCTGCCAAGTTCAGGCCTGGTACACAGGCTATAACGCTCCAAAACTGCTGCACAACAGTCCTGAAACACTGCCCCATTCTTGCACCAAAATGACATACGAACATTTGCATTTTTGTCAATGCACCTCTCTTTCCTGCTAGGTATGTAGCTCTAGCTTTATAGACCTCGGTAACACTCGTGAGATTGTCTAGATCATTGTCATTCAAAACAGACACTATGTACCTTGGAACCATATTGTAATTTGTAATGTAATTCACAAACTTTCTTTCATGATCTTTTAGACGGTCCAATATGTCCCACCCTTCCAAACCCTTATCTAGTTTATGGTTGTGCACCCCGCATGTAACCATCACTTTCCAACCGATACCACTTGAAATAAATCTCAGCCTAAACAGACATTTAACCTTCATACTATAAATGTCATCAGAAGAATTTGTGGTTTCAGATGCATTTTTCCTTTTGTAATCTCCTCCTCTCTCACAATCCATAATTAATTCATTTGTCATCCCTCACATTCCATTAGCAAAATCGGAACGAACAATGATAACAATAATATCATGTTGTTTATCAGTAGACTGTGTCCATGTTAAACTTTTAGCTCATGTGTTAAAAATCTTTCAGTTATATATAATTATTAAACTTTATCAATTTCATATATGACGGAAAACAAATAAAATTGTATTAATTCAATAAGAAACATATGGTATCGGAGATGAAGAACTCCGTATAATCTATACACGAATCTGTAGAAGATGCCGACTCTGAACCACATACATACAAAATTTCATCTGGAGACATATCGAAATTTTCAATATAATTGAAAATTTCTGATATACAACCAGAAATATGAAATTTTCGGTATTACGTTCCATACCAAAAATTTTGAATATTTCCTATATATTGCCTGGAATTCTCCAGAAAATTTGAAATTTTTGATAAATTATCTCGAAAATTTTAAAATTTCCGATAAATCGTTACTACAAATTTTGAAACTGCAAACAATTTCCAATTAAGTGCAAAATTTTAGTATCGGAAATTTCGTTGTGCGTACCAAAAATTTAGTTTTACCCCTTCTCCAATAGTAAAAAAAAATTGAGAAATGTAATTTTTTCTAAAGGTAAATAGTGCCAGGGGTAATTTTGAAATAAAAAAAATTAAGAGATGCCGGATATAATGAGTAGTGGCAAAATGATATTGGATAAAAACCTCTGGGCCGAAAACTTCTCCACCCTTGCTACCCACTATTTACCCTATAGTATTAGTGACCACTGTAATGTTCTATTGACTACTCGGACAAAAACTCGCCATGTCAAGTCCTTAATAACTTCATAATATGAACAACTTTCTGGACTACATTAAAGATATATTGACATTTTATAGACTAAATTAATGGAATACTATTATGCCTTACACAATTCCTTCTAAAACTGGAAAATATATTGCAGAAAGAAAATAATGAAAGTGTGCAATCAAGAAACAAGCTCCAACATACGAAGTAATAACATTTATATGTCATTCTCTGGAAATATTTCCAGTAACTATCCTAAGAGGTGGCTATATTAATAGTTTTGATTGATTCAATTTGATTTCACACCAACATCATAAGCTCAAGAAACACACTCCAAGTTATTCACAGCTAGTCACGATTGATCCAAATATCAACCTGCCAAATTATAGTCATCTGTTTGCTGGTATAAATTGTAGCCCCCAGATACTTCCATTTTTCCAGCTAGATAATCATTCCCTGAAAAATCAAATCAAAAAATGATCGCAATACCAGTTCTGATTGTCGACACAAAGTTACAATATGGAGAGTAGCTACTATCTACTTTGACATTCACATGTCAAGATTCTTGCACACTTCCTCGTAGAACTAATTTAAGAATTTGCCAAAGAATTTCAACTAGAGATGTTAAAAGTCCATAATCTACAAGTTCGGCTTGGACTTATATATTTAAGCTTATCAACTAGTATAAACACTAGTGAGACTATTTCAAAAAGCTTGAGAAAACAGCTTATGACATGCTAATAAACTGTCTTCAGCTCATTTCTGTAAACTCCAAGACTGTTTTACTATACATTTAGCTTATACATAAGCACTTATGTGATAAGCGCTTATGCTATAAGCGCTTAATGAGACTGTTCATCCAAACACAGCTCTATTAAAAATTAAACATTTATATAACAGGCGTTTGTAGTCCAACGGTTAGGATAATTGCCTTCCAAGCAATAGACCCGGGTTCAACTCCCGGCAAACGCATGTCCCAATTTTGTTTTGCCACATGTTCATGTAATGTAGCCGACTCTACTTAGTGAAGTAAGGTTTGATTGTTGTTATACTATGTAAGATATACCAACCTATGAAGTCCAGACACCCTGTAAAAAACCCCGACAATGACACGGTGACAACAATAATAATTTGAAAAAATGAATAAATTAAACATAATCACAAGTGTCGGACACGGACACGCCTATTTTTAGAGGTGTAGGTGCTACATGGATACCAACTAAGCTCAAAAAAAGATGTTACATACTTGAGTTTGATAGCACTTCATCATAAAGAGACACACCGGCACCACTCAAATTTCTTGAAGATCTTATGTGACCATCCGATTGAAACATTGAATACGTTTTGTTAGAATCTGGATTCAAGTACTGCAATTCAGATCCTTTTTCAGGGTTCTGGAAGCACAAATTTTCATCCCCTGCAGCAACATTTTGATGAGACTGAAATTCCTCTGGTTTTGTCTTCTTATCTTTGGAATCAACCTCTGTCTCTACCTCTGATTCAGTGTTACTAGTTCCCCCGTTTTGCATCTTTCTTTTCGATCTAGCACGCCTATTTTGGAACCAATTATAAACATTTGTTTCAGATATCTGACCATGCTGGCTTAGTTCAGTAGCAATCTCCTTGATTTTTTCTTTGCTCGGAGTTCCATTTCCCTGATCGAATATGCGTTCGAGAATCTGGAGCTGATCCTGTGTAGGAGTCCACCTCTGTCTTGATGTGATTTTGTGACCAGATGCCATCAATGGATCACAGTATATATTTCCCAGCCTAACCCCTGATGGAACAAAAACACTTAAGCATTTCTTTAGAAAAGCTGAATCTTAATAACAATGTCAAGTATTATACACCAAAAGAAACAAATTTCTACTAATTCTACAGTGAAGGTGTGAGAATTACAAGGTCTTACAATCTATACAACCTCAATAATACTTTGTTTTGGTACAACTCAAGAGTACTTTTGATTCTAGGAGATCCAGAAATATTTGTTTGTTCAATCAAGCCATAATTTTTGCAGATAAAATAAAGTAGCATACAATAGTCCCTCTTAACTACAACAACAAATTAGTTTTACATTTACTTGACAACTTGAAAGCTATGGTTATGTATGTTGCACAAGATAGCAACCAAAGCAATACGCCAAGTTAAAAATTTAACAAAGTTTGATTTTCTACGTGGATGTTTGGTTTCGCGGGGAGCATTAGCAATGTAGTCAAGCACGAGATCTTAAGTAGGATCGCTTGTGAAAGATCTTAAAACTAAGATGTAAGATCCTACCTAAAAAAAAGGGTAATATATATACACACACATACAAAAAAAACATGACAGTCATAATACGGTCCCAAAAAAAAGACCCGGCGCGTTTTTTTTTGTTGCAATCTTGCTTCAGAAAGCTCAATCTCGACCACGCTAGAGACAAAAACGATCTTTATTTGACCATAGCACTTTCAAGCATCTTTAGCACATAAGATCTTACGATTCAACACTCGATCTTGACTATATTGGCAGAGAGTAGGTCATAATTTATCATGGTGAACTACTACACAAAATCTACACTATGACATACATCCACCGGGTACCAAACATACATTATGCCACCTCAGCATTTGGTATTTGCATTGTTTTGGTCAATAATTATTCTCTATGACTACAAAAAAGTTGAAATTTGAAAATTGAAATTCAATGTCCTTATTAAGAAAAATTAAATATTGCAGATATTTTGCAGAGTCATACTATCATATTCCCTTAAATAATTGAGAAACACTTTGAATGTCATAAAAACATTATGAATATCCACATATTCCTTCCCTATTTTGCAACTGTTTGGACCAAATTACCCTTCCATAAATAGATTCGTTTTCTGTACCACTCAACATTAAACATGATGCAGACAAATCAAACTGTCAGAAAAGAACATATATGAATGAATGAATAAGAATTTGCAGAAAAAACATAAATCACACTACAAAATAGCAAAAACTCACTATGTAATTACAGTGATTCCAAACATGCCCTAAACTTTTTAGGTTAATTTGTAAAATAAAATAGAAATAGTAAAATTCTCAAATTAGAAAATCAATTCTGAAGCAAATTATTGATGAGGTAAGAATGAATTAGTATTTACCTGCAAGATCTTGTTGAGCAGAGAGAGTTTTATGCATCTCAACAAGCTGTTCACAGATGGTAGCATAAACAGCAATCTGTTTCCGAAGAGTTTCCAATTGTTCATCAGTCATGACTTTGACGTACATCGCGTCGACATTCCCGTTCTGAACTTGTTTCTGCCATTCCATCATGTTCACCATAGCATAGATACTCTCTCTCTCTCTCTCTCTCTCTCTCTGGATTTTGATCAGACACTGTGTGTGTGAAACAAAAGTCAGCAAAGTTTATGGACAAAAGAGAGAAACATTATTATTCAAGAAAATCGTTTGTCCTCTTTATGCGGTGACAACGGCCCAAGACCAAAAGTCGGCAATAGATTAGATTTATGATTACTGCTAAATCATTTAAATATTTGTCTGCTTTATATTATTCTTATTAAATTTATCGACTAAATGATCACACTATACAAATTAATTTTTTTTTAAAATTTAAAGGCACATTCACAAATCCTAATCATAATTCTTTCACCGACATAAATTCTAATGCAACATGTTTATATTATTAAACATAATGATCGTTTATTTAATATGATTGATCGAAATGTCATTTGTTTCATCATATAAATGTTGGATTCAACATTGATCATTCAAATGTATAACCATCATTACGGTACTCGAATGGACAAAACAAAAACAATATACCAAATACAATGTTGTCACACTAGAATTATTTATAACATATATAAATGGATCAATCATATTTTTATCAATTATGGGTGATTGATTATCATTGCTTCACCATACAAATGTGCATTCTGAAGCGTAATCAACATCGAACATTCAAATTATACAAAACACGATGGCAATATTTAATTTACCTACTATTATTTCATTCATTATGTATGTTTAATTAAATTAAGGCATAAAGTACATAAAACAAATAACTATCTGACTCATAGTTTCGTATGTGGCTCTGATACCACTGAAAGGAAACAACAATATAAAATGCAACAGAAAACAAAATTTCTTTTTTAAGTCGATCCTTATGAACGAGCATGATCATTGATCGAATTTCACCTCTTGTGACAATTAAGATATTGATTGAAAATCAGAAGAACGATCACAAGCCTTGAATGAAGAACAACGCTTATACTTAGTTCATACCAATAAAGTAACTTTAATCTCAATGCTAATCGTACTAACTAAGCTTCTTCTAAACGGTTAACTTAAGGTTCTAATAGATAAGATACTTCACAAAAATCATATAATCAGTTGTCTAAAGGTTTTAATTGATTATGTAGTTCAAAATTATCTTTCAGTCGATAGTTTTAAGGTCCTAACCGATCAATTAGTTAAAATGGCTTCAAAAAGAAGGTTGGAAGTATCTTAACCACTTGGCTTAGGTTTGAAAACATTTTAAGGATATTTGATAGATAAAAAATATGTTTCAAGTGTGCGTGTGAGTTTCCTTAGTATCTTAGGAGTTACTCCCTTACTTTTACAAAACTCTGTTCACTTAGACAGACACGACCAAGTGAGCTTTCACACTTTCTCTCTTTTTATAACTTTGAGGCCTTTAATATTCTTAGCCAGATATATTAATCATATAAGAACTTCAATGAGGTCTTGATTATCCTTTTTTATGAGGCTTGAGATGTCTTTAAGTTTAATCACGATCATCAAAGAGTTGGAGAACTTTTACCACCGACTTTACTGACTTCATCTATCAATGTTGTTATCATCATCAAAACTTCAGATGTTGATCTTTATTAAAGATATATTACCTGTAAAACAAGGTTCTAGATTCTCCTCTTTTTGGTGATGACAACGCATCTCTCAGGGGAGGAGGTAAAAGAAATAATATATTTTGGAGTGATAATACTTCCCCTGAGAGTATACTTCTCCCCCTTTATCAAAATCAAAAAAGTGGGTGCAGGTGAAAATATTTTGAACATGATATGACTTTGCACGATTTAATGTAAGTAAATATAGCATATGCATTTTAACAAATACCTCAGTTAATAAAGATTATTATAAGCAACGGGTGAGAAGTATATATTTGTTTTATCATTTTGAACATGTGATAATATATCAAAACAAGGTTTCAAAGAATATCATAAGTGTTGAAGCATTAACATTTATGGAAGACAATGATAAACATGATGAAGCATAGAATAATAACACAATTAATCATTTTTTAAGACAAAATTTGAAATGAAACAAAATTCTTGTATTCCATGGCATACAATGTTTGTCATTAGCAAGAGATGTGTAAGATATATGATCTGATTATGTTTGCATCTTAACATATTTAAGGTGTGCCGAACAAGGGTAATTATGCAAAACAAAGTTAAATTTGATGTAAATATATTCTTGTATTATTTATGTATTTAAGCATAACATTGGTAGTTCAGCGAAAAGAAAGAATGAACATTTGTTTCAATATTTGTCAAGCAAATGCAACACATAGATTTATTAGATGCGAGATAGCCCTCATATATGTGGAGCAAGCATTGTATAGTTAAAGGTATCACATTTATCAATTTATGCAAGTCAAAGGTAATTATGCAAAACAAGGTTTATTATAGTCATTTAGAAAATGAGTAACGAAATCATAGATCACATGTAAAAGGAACAAGTTACCTTATAAAGATGGACAATAGTTGTCCAGAGAAGGTATATGATCTCAAATCTTATTTCTCCCCATGTAAGATAATATTCAGTTTTGAAATGAATTGATAGGCATGCTTTGAATAATATCTTCCACTTAATTTTTCTTTCTTGAACATAACCAAGAAATCTTTTAAGCTTTATAAACCAAGAGGGTTTATTGTTTCTCATATTCTTTTCAATGGATAATCATTTTGTTTTTAGGAAATCTTTTGGACATTTCTTTTCATCCTCCTTGGGCCTTAGGTTGATATTGGACTTTTAGGCATTTTGTATTTGGCACCCTTTTGCTCCAAAATATCTTAAAATCTCAAGTTAACTTGAGAACCTCCCCCCCCCCCCCCCCTCCCCCTTGGAGGAAGCAGCGAGCCTTTGTTGATTCTTTTGGTAGGTTTTATGATCATAGTCATTGAATGATACTATCCACATAATAATTTTGATTAAATCTGATATGTTTTAGAAAACTCTCCCATCTCTTTCATTTAGACTTTTAACATTCTTCTTTCTCTTGATTTGTCAACTTTCAATGAAGTCCTCTAAGGAATATCTCCAAAAGTAACAACCTCTACTTCTACCTACTAGGGGTTAGTTCACCAAAGGTATCACCAATATTGGCGATTTTGTATCACCAATGTATTTTAGTAGTAATGTGATTTCTAAAGGCCGATGCAATTATGCGTTAAGTTCGGAGACGAGTTAGGGAAGTGCGGAGTGCACGCTCGTCGAGCCAATGCATAATTGAATACGAATAATTGAAACGGGGTTCCAAGGGGCGAAGCCCCTGGCGGGGAGCGGGGCAGCGCCCCGTTGGGGTTCCAAGGGGCGAAGCCCCTGGTTCATTTCGAACAAATATGTCTCTTCGTTTTCAATTATTGTTCTCCTATATAAGGAGTCGTTCGGCCTCGGTCTCGCACACAGAAAAAAACGCATCCTTCTCTCTATAATTACAATTCATTTTCTTTTTTCGAAAACAGAATTTCTTCGAGAATTATCCCCACAAAGATTTCGTGAACCCAGGCAAGAATAGGGTCGAAATACTTTGTTCGGAAAGTGTACGAACACGATTCTTCGAAGTTATCCAGGATTATCACACCCTAAATATCTAACAAACGAACAAAGTATTTCTGATAATCATGGCTGGAGGAAGCACCATCAAGGAGACGACAACAAACTTCGGAAAATTGGACAAGTTTCAAGGACAAGATTTCAGGCGTTGGCAGAAGAAGATGCACTTCATGTTGACAACGTTGAAAGTGGTACACGTCCTGTCTACACCGATTCTAGAACCTCATGAGGATGAAACAGTCGAAGATATAAGACGCAGATCAAAGTGGGAGAACGACGACTACATATGCAGAGGGCACATTCTTAACGGTATGTCTGATCCCTTATTTGATATTTACCAAAACGTGGAATCTGCAAAAGAATTATGGGATCAACTCGAATCCAAGTACATGGCAGAGGACTCATCCAGTAAAAAGTTTCTGGTAACCGATTTTAACAATTACAAAATGGTTGAATCGAGGTCTGTCATGGAACAATTCAATGAACTCCTCCGAATCCTTGGACAATTCACACAACATGGATTGAATATGGATGAAACAATATCTGTCTCAAGCATCATAGACAAATTTCCTCCTTCGTGGAAGGATTTCAAACACAATCTGAAACATGGAAAAGACGAACTGTATTTGATCCAACTTGGAAGTCATTTGCGCATAGAAGAATCTCTAAGAGCGCAGGAAGATGACAAAGGAAATGGCAAAGGAATTGCTGGACCCTCGGTTAATATGGTCGAAGAGGGTGGTAAGAATGATTACAACAAAAACAAAGGAAAGAAGTGTGCCTTCAAGAACAAACAGGGCGGTTTCGGTAATAATAAGAAACCAAAACTAGAATGCTGGAAGTGTGGCAAAACAGGCCACTTCAAGAAGGATTGTCGTTTCGATAAAAAGAACGACAACGCGAATGCAAGTGGTTCAGGAAAGGGGCCTAAGGACCACTCCGAAAACCAAGGTCAAAAATCAATTCGTGATTTGAATAGTTTGATTAAACATTCGGTTTCACTAAATTCTGAAGCATTTTATGTGCAGGATGATGCTGCCGCGTGGTGGATTGATTCTGGTACCACAACACATGTTTGCAAGGATCGTTTCTGGTTCAAGACTCTTGTTCCAGTGGAAGATGGTTCTGTCCTCTACATGGGAGATGATCACTTCGCTCCCGTTGAAGGCAAAGGAAACGTGGTGCTAGAATTCAGTTCTGGAAAGACTATTACTTTGTTTAATGTATTGTATGTTCCTAAATTACGTAAGAATTTAATTTCTGGTCCTGTATTAAACAAGCTTAGATACAAGCAAGTGTGTGAATCCGGTAAATATGTATTATCGAAGTCTGGTGTGTTTGTAGGATTTGGATATTATAATAATGGTATGTTTATGATGAATTTGAATGGTGTTCCTAATGATTTTGGTTCTGTTTTTATGTCCTCGTCAAATGTTATTAATTTTTCGTTATGGCATGCTCGTCTA